TATCAGTGCTAGAAACAACTGCTTAACATTTTTTGGATACCTGTGTTAAAGAGAACAGCATTTATTTAAAATAGAAACCTTTTGTAACCGTATACACTACTGTTAAGTTTTTTGCAATTGATATAAAGTGATAGTAAAGACTTATACTGGTACAAATTATTTCTATTTTGTCATTCAGCTTTGCCACCACAGAAATAAATTATATTTTATAATATATTAAAGTAGAAAAATGTTATTCTAAATTGCAATACTATTTCACAAATGAATGTTTTTACTGTATTTTTGATCAAATAAATGCAGCCTTGATGAGTCAAGAGACTTAACGCCAAACTTTTGAATGGTAGTGTATACATTTTTTTTAATCATTAACATCTAGAAAATTATTTAAATTCATTAGTTAATTATATATTAAAGTGTATTCATTATATAAATGTCAAGCTGCAAAGTTGTGTGATTACAAGAAAGTACAAAGGTTTATTTTTTTTATCTCGTCTATTAAAGGAAACTGTCCACTGTTTCTTCCTGTTTCAGTTCTGTTCTCTCAGGCAGCAACTGTTATATTCCTTTTGAGAGGTCATGTGTTTGAGGGCAGGTGGTTACGGTTGTGTTTCAATATGTGAGTTTATTATGATCAAACTAGCTGTAAGAGACGACGACGCCTTTGTCTTTAAATGATTTCTAAAGCTCCTGCAAAATATGACTATTGGCTACAAAACTGAATCATGAAACCAAAATAACATTTGAATGTGTGCTTTTTATTACAAGGAAACAAAAGCAAGCAACATTCCCTCAGGTACAGAAGTTATTTGTGCATTGTACGTCATTTAAACGCTCTCTTACTCGTTTTCCATCTTGGTTATCTAAGCAAACATTCTGTAAATTATTAGGACGTTTGTTTGGGACTGATATGAAGTGTATTGTGTTTCACAGGAATTTGCTAAAACCAGAGGACCGATTCTGTTCACTGACCCTATTATCACAAAACAGCATACTATTATCACCTGCCTTATCCCAAACCAGCTGGAAACACACATCAATTTCACAGGCATGCTGAAGAGGTCAACATAAAAACCCAACATGAGGTAGGAACCCATCATACCACAACTTCCTGTATGCATTTACTTAAATGAATCTCTTCCTTCTGTTCTAAACTGAAATGAAATGGAATGTAAATTTGTAGCATATTTTTGCGCAGCCCTTTCAAACAAAGTCAGAAAAATGGCTGCTTTATCTCATTTAGTGCAATTCTGTGCAAGATCAAGCATTTTGTTGTGACCAGTCAATCAAGGATTCTACATAACATAAAATCTTTCTTCCTGAAAAAACAATAAAAATCATTATTTTAAAAACACCAATATTGGGCAATACACATTACATGATATGCTTGCTGTTGCCGATATAGAACTATCATTAACCATAATAAATGTCTTTTTCTTTACAACAATAAGTCGAGCATTGACATTCACACAAACATGCTGCTGTTATGTAATGTAATTGCAGGGGAGACGATTCTGCTCAACTCTTTTGTAAGTAAAAGTATAAAGTTTCAGAGCTAAAATGCATCAGTTTCGATCCTTGAGTCAGGTTTACGAAATTGACAAATGTTTCCATTTTCTTAAAAAAAACAACAACTTTGGGGCTGGAAGTGGATATCACCACCATGTTTTGGCTTTTCAATCCTGTCTGCTGATTTTGACAGATGAAGCAACAGATGTATTTTCACATTCAAAAAGGGGATCTGATAAGATCTGTAGCAAACAAAAGGAAGAGAAGATACTGAATGTATCAGGATTTCTAAATGACTATCTTGTGGACAGGTTTAACTGAAATTGGAACAAAAGAAAACTGAACTGTTAGAAATTTGAATGAAAGTAGTAAGGCATCTGATATGTTTTTAATGTTAGTACTTTAAAGAGCCATGCTGTACAGACGATGCAAGTACAGTATGGAGCTCTATTTTGCAGGACCCAGTTCATCCAAAACCAGAGCACTAGTGTGTTAACACAAAAGACTTTAGTTCAAACATTTTCCCATAATCCTCTGCTATTTCTGAGGGTTATTTCATTTGCAAAATGGTAAATAAAAAAATGGAGTATTCATCTGGGCCCATTGTGTCTGTCATAGCAATGATACCTCTCCAAATAATGGTAAAATACTTTAAAACATCACAGGCAAGTCAGTTTGTCAAATCAACACCAAGATCTGTTAAAACATATCACAGGCTAAAAACTGAAAAAGGTACCACTGATGCTTTAAGCTGAGAGCGGCACAGGACTTGGATGAACTGTTAGCGAGCAGAGATATTCTGAATGATACTGAAGCCCTCAGTGTCCGTTTTGTTTGAGCCTCTCCAGTCTCTGTAGCAGAGCATTTCCAAACGCTTCTCTGTATCCGGGGCTGAGAGAATCCAGCAGTGAGTAAACAGTCTCATGATACTGGGAGCTCAACTCCTCATCCACCTGATCGAAGACGTGTCCCACCACCTCAAAGATAAGAAGCAGAAAGGTCAAACATTCCACAGATTCCTCTGGTATTCCTCACTTAGAGGTCACACTTGTGATCCTCAGCGGTCAAAACAGACCAAAGAAATGTATGTTTTTATTAATGAAATTAACGTCATATGTTATAGGTTTCAATAATATTTAGTCTTTAATATTGTGTATTTTAAGGGGATTTCATGGTGCTACACAATATTCCCCTCTAAATTATGCACAACTTTCTTCTATCTGATTTACAACTGAAAATAACTGATTAAAATCCAATGATTGGAAGACAGATTGGTGCCATCTGGTGGGAGAAATAAAGAAAATCAATGTACTACCACGATGGAATCACTAGATATTAGGGATGTAACCATTCACTCAAGTCACGATTCGATTCATGGTTTTTTTTTTTTAACAAAATGAGATCTAAGACAAATTCTAAATGAAATGTCCTTTTATTATTGCTTGAACAAAATGCTGCACGTTTTTTTGTGAAATTGAAATATAACACTATAATAATATACTAATATAACACTTGCATATTATTGTTCTTTTGTTGGTTTTGATTGCTTCTATTGTCCTCCTTTGTAAGTCGCTTTGGATAAAAGCGTCTGCTAAATAACAAAATTTAAATATAATGTAAAGTAAATAACAATAATAAATTGATATTTTAAAACAAGCCCCAAATCAAATAAATAAGTAACACAAATAAAAGAAATATCTTCGTATAAACAAACTAAGGCTTTGTCTGTGCTCTTTCCATTTAAAATTAGAGGCAACCACTACATTTTAATCATGATCCAAACAATGATGCTGCATACATGCAACATGAGCAGTTTTTAATCTAAATTAGATTGTATCATTTCGAAATTTGAAGCAAAAACAGTTGACTTCAGTTTTGTGAAACTATACATAAAAAATATCTGCATGAAACCGAAACAGAGCAGACGAGCTGAAC